GCACTGTGACTGAGCTCATTAATATCCCAAAAGAATAGTGTTTATAACACTGTATGAAACAAATAAATATGTGCCACATTGTTTTTGAAAATATATGTTGTTTGTTATGTGGATGTAAATGTGCTTTGGTCAATCTCTATTATTATGTAAATGATATGCAAATCATATGCAAATTAGTCCGCCACAGTGGTTTAAATTCCTGGGGAGAACACTGATGTACTGATGCACATAAGTTTGTTTTGATGAAAATGGCCAATTGGTGGCCATGTTGTTGATCTTAAATTCATCGTTTATAATTGATACAGTCAATAAAAACTAAACCTTGAAAGTGAGTGACTTATTTTCACATAAAATGTTTCTTCAGTGTGTTGCTATATACTATATACTTGAGGAGTCTGTATAAGAAGTATGAATGATAAATTCATAATTTATAATAGTAATTTTCTAAAAATAGTTACCCTACACTGCATTTTTAGATGCATTTATTGATACACATGTATAATGTTTTACACCTACCGTGTATGATGAATATAGCATATATTATTCATTATAATAATAAATTTCCTTGAGAAATATGAAGAATAACATAATTAGTCCAATTTATTTAAATATGCGCACATAAAACATTAACCTGAAGTCAGTAAGCCAAACTCCTATTACCAGGGTACTATGTGACTAGCTATTTCATTCATTCATGCAATGAGTTTTTTGAGTTTGATTTATAAACTTTTGTCATCAGGATTATTGTAAAGAGAATCATTACATTACTGATACAACAAATGTTTTTCAGAACTAAACTTTCAAATCATAGGCTGATTTATGATAATTAGACTTGCAACTGCAAATGTGTCCTTGAATATTTTTACTGTATGAATAAAATACATGTTCCAAATCTGACCAGTAAAATCATTATTTTCTACAGCTACTGTCAGTAATTCTAAGAAATCTGTGTTTGATAGACTTGGTGGTGAAAACCAGTCATCTACTCTTACTACTCCTAGTAAGATTGCTCCGAGTACTAGTAATAATGGCGGTGTAGCATCAAAACGTAGTGGAAAGGATACCCATGTAACTGTTATTAGTTTGAAAAACACTGAGGTAAGTGTGTCTCAAAACATTTACAATGTTCTATGTAATTATGAGCTTCAAATGTTACTGTAGAATACTTTATTTTCGCTTGGAATTTATTTTCGCTATTTTCGCTGAAGGGATGATTCCGTGAAAATATAATCCAGCGAATATACTTTCACATTAAACTCATCAAAAATCAGTGAAAATAAATTCCACACAAAACGCCCAAAGAGCCTTTTCAGCGAAAATTAATTCCAGCGAAAATAAAGTATTCCACAGTAATTTTGCAAGTTTGAACTTTTATTTTGCTAAACATTTCAACAATCAGAATATAATTTTTGCTGAACTAAGCAAGACAGTGTTTGTTTAGGATAGTCAAGTGAGTTAGGCACTTTGGTTTAATAGGGTAGTCAAGTAAGGCAGTTTGGTTTAGGGTAGTCAACTAAGTGAGGCAGTGTTAGTTTAGGGTAGTCAACTAAGTGAGGCAGTGTTGGTTTAGGGTAGTCAACTAAGTGAGGCAGTGTTAGTTTAGGGTAGTCAACTAAGTGAGGCAGTGTTGGTTTAGGGTAGTCAACTAAGTGAGGCAGTGTTAGTTTAGGGTAGTCAACTAAGTGAGGCAGTGTTGGTTTAGGGTAGTCAACTAAGTGAAGCAGTGTTAGTTTAGGGTAGTCAACTAAGCAAGACAGTGTTAGTTTAGGGTAGTCAACTAAGTGAGGCAGTGTTAGTTTAGGGTAGTCAAGTAAGGCAGTTTGGTTTAGGGTAGTCAACTAAGTGAGGCAGTATTGTTTAGGGTAGTCAAGGCAGTTTGGTTTAGGGTAGTCAACTAAGTGAGGCAGTGTTAGTTTAGGGTAGTCAACTAAGTGAGGCAGTGTTAGTTTAGGGTAGTCAACTAAGCAAGACAGTGTTTGTTCAGGGTAGTCAACTAAGCAAAACAGTGTTTGTTCAGGGTAGTCAAGTGAGTTAGGCACTTTGGTTTAATAGGATAGTCAAGTAAGGCAGTTTGGTTTAGGGTAGTCAACTTAGTAACTAAATTCAGTGTTAGTTTTGGGTAGTCAACTAAAGGCAGTATTGGTTTAGGGTAGTCAACTAAAGGCAGTGTTGGTTTAGGGTAGTCAACTAAAGGCAGTATTGGTTTATGGTAGTCAACTAAAGGCAGTATTGGTTTATGGTAGTCAACTAAAGGCAGTATTGGTTTAGGGTAGTCAACTAAGTAAGGCAGTGTTGGTTTAGGGTAGTCAACTAAGTAAGGCAGTGTTGGTTTGTAAAACTTGTCATGATATGCACTATGGTGATGTGATAAAACACCCTTAATGAGATATTTCCATTTGTATTTCATTAAATGTACTGTATGTTCATTTCAATTTTCACAGGCATGAATTGTTTTGTGATAATAAAATTGAGATAGAAGAGATTGACATACATCTATACTGTTGGGGGGCTGTGTCTATGTAATATTATTTGTATCTTTATACAGTCTGACAGTTCAGTCTTTCGAAGACTTGGTGGAATGAAGAGACAGGAAACAATGTCAATGTCATCTGATGATGGCTCAGAATTAGACTACCATGGAGTTCTCAAAGCTGAAGCATTACAACTTAAAAGAATGAAAAAGATCATGAAGCCAGTTGTTGCTGCTCAGTCAAATAAGTCTAATAGTGTAGCGGAAAAGAAAAGTGCCCTCCAAAGGCTTGGACCTCAACAAACGGGTGTCACAGTGAGACTTGGTCCAGCAAAGACAAATGTTTCTGCAAGGCTAGGTCCACTGAAGTCTGAAGCAACATCTACATCTACTAGTAGTTCAGGTTCAGGTGTAAAAATTACCAGGACTGTTTCTAATGTCAGTAGTTTACAAGAACGCCTTGGAGTACAGAAGGCTGAAGCTCCTCAACCAGTGATATATGCCCGGTTAAGGTAACAACCAGAAACAGTGCCTCTACTACTAAGACTATGGTATCTACCAACCTTAAGGTAAAAATACCAAAAATAACAATTAAAAAAGGTGCAGGTATTGTAAAACGACTTGGGACACAAACAAAGTCTGTGCCTATAACACAGACTACTAGAAAAACTGGGTTAATTGCACGCCTTGGAACAAAAGAAAAGAAACTAGTTAAAACTTTATCAAAAGGAAAGAACACTGGAGCTGTACTGGAAAGACTTGGGTTACCAATCACCAAAGAAGAGACTGGTACTATAACGTCAATATTAGCACCCACCAGATCCAAGACATCCAGTATCATGACAAGATTAGGAACACAAAAGGTGGTCCCTACTTCCACAACTTCTACTAAGAAAGGAAGTTATACAAAAATTGTGAAGGTAACAACTAGCACCACCGACAAATCTGCCAGGAAAGCGACAATTGGCACCACCAACAAATCTATAGCAATAGTATCCAAAAGCCCAATAGGAAAAGTGTCCAGTACTGCTGGTGTGTTTAGTAGACTGGGTTCTAAGTAAGAGTCTGTATGTATTTTTCTTATTTATTTTAATATCTCACTGTCATGTTGATTTAAAAGTTACATACTGGCATTTCTGTGGTAGTAGAGAAACCTAAAATCACATCATGTACTTATATCTGCATAAATAAAGACAACACAGTTCTACTAATTTCAGCTCTGTGGGAGTGAATTACAAACTAGTGTACCAATAGAATGAAGATAGCATCAGATATAAAATATTTTCTTTTTAAGTTAATGTGCATTTTGGACTGTTATGTGACATTTGATGGCATGAATAAAAGCAATGCAGTAGTA